TAACCTCAGCCCCTTGGGTAGCCAAAGTGCCCGAGGTGGCTGGCCCAGACTTAACCTCAAGCACTTTGGTTGCCCGAGGGGCTAAGGTAATTCAAATAACCTCGGCCCCTTGGGTGGCCAAAGTGCTTGAGGTGGCTGGCCCTGAAGAAACAATCAAGAAACAAGCAAAAATAAAGAAATAGAAGTGAAAGCAATCAAATCAAAACTCACCCTTGGTGGCATCTTTCCCTCCCGATATCTCGATCATGCTAGATTTCTCACACTCTCTCACTCTCAATCTCAACTCGTGTTCATACTGGTGCGCTCCATCTCTTGCACTCTCCCACACTCAATCTCTCGCACTCGTGCGCTCCATGCTCAATCTCTCAATCTCTTATGTGCTCAATCACTCGATCTATTGCATGCTCAATCCCTCGATCTCCTTCCCACTCAATCCCTCGATCTCTTGTGCGCTCCACTTATGGTGCAATAATCCTAATCATCTTTCATCCCAGCTGTTCATTCCAAATAACCTAAATCTCAACCATCACAATATCTTCGATCTTATTTTATCTTATCATTATTATTATATGTGAATTATGCTTTTTTATTTTGTATATTTTAATGATGATATAACTAGCACCTATCAACATTTCTGTTATTAGAGATATGATTTTTTTTTACAAATTATCTACAAAGGATGCATTCTCATCAATATTTTGTACATATTTTGGAATCGTTACAAGAACTTTAAAGAGTATAAATAAGGCACATTAAAATATGTTGTACTATATCCATCTATGAATGGATGAATCCTCATCCAGAAATTTATTTTATGTTGTATTAGATCCTGAATAATAGGCACGTGCTTTAAATGTCATTGAGTAGTGTTCACAATTATGGATAAAACTTGAGTTGTACTACGAATCAAATCTGTCATTGAAGAATAAGATTTAACAAGATTTATTATCATCTACCACTTAAAATTTGACAACTTGACATATCACGTATACTGACAGTCAAATTAGATCTCTTGGTTTGACATGCTATAGCAAAATATCATTACTAGTATCATTATTAACTATCAAACTTCACGTCTTGAAAATCCTTCCTTGGATCTATGTGTATAACATGCATCAGATATCATAATAGATAACAGTAATATTAATATTGTCACACTTGCACATGTTAAATTTGCTATAGAATTTAAATTCATTTTGTACATTGTTGATATTTTTCTTATTGCTTTATTTAAATTTCAATTATGCTTCATTATAGATTTTTACAAGAAGCATGAAGAGAGAAAACTCTAAAATCTATTAAGAAGGATGGAGAGGTTTCTTCTTCATTTTCGAGATCACCCACCTCTTTCATTCTCTTAGAATATTATTTCTAAAAGTTTGTTATGTCAACATTTTAATCTTTGTCTTGGCTCTATTTCTTTAAAGGTTGTGATTCACAACAGCACTAGTATAGTTGCATACTCAGAGTTTCTTCTTTCTAGTGTAAGTAAGGGTGGATAACAATAGGATTTACAGAATTCCAAGTTAAAGGAAATTCAAAGTTTTGGATCTTCAGTCAAAGTGCCCAAATGTGCTCTAGCTAAAGTGAATGTGAAGCAAAAGTTAGTCATTATTCTCTCGTCCTCTTTTAGTTCAAGTGGAGAAGTCATGTTAGTGTCAGCGCCGAATTCACTTAACGTGCACTTGTTTTTGTATAGGCTTGTGAGCGAATTTCTAGCCTTCTACAACAATATTTTCTTCGAGCTACCACCTCTTGTCAACAGCACAGATTCCAAATGGAAGGGGATAGAAACCAAATAGTATATCCATAATTGGTGCAATATCAAGACCACACATTTTCAACATTTTGAAGGCACAATGTTTATTTGCCAAATAAGAGGAATCTTTGCATAGGATAAATAAACCTCCTTAAATGGAATAATCTAAAAAGAAACAGTTGAATTAAGCTATAAATCTCAAATTCACAAATACTAGGACTAACAACATATACTTGACTAAGACGTACACCATCTATAAGTATATATTTCTTGGCTCACCTTTTAATAGGACAATGTACTCAACAATTTTGAATGCTAAGAAATTGAGTAAATTTTGTTCAATTGATAAACTTGCCTATACTAGTACCCATTGTGGAATCACCAATGTAAAATTCTCTGAGGCTAAAGGTGTTAATTCTATTCTCATTGAGCTTAATAAATGGCACTATACACATGTCCCAGAAATACAAGAACTATGAGAAGCCTTGCTGATACTAGTGTTCAATTTTCTGGAGATCAACACAGTATTACTTTTTATCTTGATGTGGCCAAAGTGATGCCCATGCTATTTTAGTGCCTCTCCTTGTCAAAGAATCTAAGATGCACTGGTTCTAGCATAAAAAATATGGAAGTAGAAATGTCGCATACACTTTGGGATTGCTTGCTGATCCTCTATCCCACCTCTTATTGGTTATGGACAAGATCAGGCTTTTTTCACATTAAAGCCTTCCTTTCTTAATAATGTTATGAAAGATCAGTAGTCCAGTGGTGCCTTGGTTCGAGCTATGCAAAAGAATATTTGTGATAGTTACTCATTTTATGCCCTAGATAGCAATTGAAAGTTCGTGGCATTTGGTGCGGTGACAACTGGGACGCTTCCAGATAGAACAGAAAGTGGTAGTTCTGCACCATCAAACTCCTGCTGCTCTCACTAGCAATAATCAAGAGGCACGAGAGATTTAGTTCCTTGCGCAGATTGACGTGGGCAAGCTGGAGACTGCGGCGGCTGTGATAATCCATTTCCTGGCCTATCGGCGCAGCGGCGGCTTCAGCCCTGGCAGCTGATTCTCTTGTCTCGTCTGATTCCATTGACAAGACATGATCGATCGCAGGCGCTCCTCCTGTCGCTCCTCCTCCTCCTCGCAGTGTAGCTTTCTTGACGCTGACCTTGTGTTTGGCGCCCTGGCGGCGGGATACGTTTTCAGGGACCAAGGTTGAGAGGTATGAACTTCCAGAGAAGTAGACTTTGTAAGCTTTCGGTGTGATCTTTCCAGGTTCAGGGCTGTGCTTGGAGCATCGACGCCACACATTCACCATCCATTCCTGTCACGAACAGGCAATTCCATCCTCAGGCAGCTCAAGTGGACGAAGTTCTCCATGTGCCTGGTGGGTTTGGGGGAATCAAACAAGCCCGCTTTTTCTCGGAGAGACTGCCGTCCTGCCCGAGCTTGATACTCCTCCCGATTTTAGCACCCAAAAATCACCCCGATTCTTGAGACGCATCAAGGATATTTACTAGCCAGACTTCCATGGTGTCTACATGAAAGGTTTATGCGAAGGAGGACGCCACCCTCACTGTCAGAGCGTGGTCGAGGCTTTTGACAAGCGCCAAAGGGGTGATTACAGTTCCCTAGGATCACCCCCGCATTGATCTGCCACAGGAGAACTAAATCTCTCGTGCCTCTTGATTATTGCTAGTGAGAGCAGCAGGAGCTTGATGGTGCAGAACTACCACTTTCTGTTCTATCTGGAAGCGTCCCAGTTGTCACCGCACCAAATGCCACGAACTTTCAATTGCTATCTAGGGCATAAAATGAGTAACTATCACAAATATTCTTTTGCATAGCTCGAACCAAGGCACCACTGGACTACTGATCTTTCATAACATTATTAAGAAAGTAAGGCTTTAATGTGAAAAAAGCCTGATCTTGTCCATAACCAATAAGAGGTGGGATAGAGGATCAACAAGCAATCCCAAAGTGTATGCGACATTTCTACTTCCATATTTTTTATGCTAGAACCAGTGCATCTTAGATTCTTTGACAAGGAGAGGCACTATCATCTATGAAAAGCCTTTTTGATACTACTCTCCTCCTCTTCAGGCTCTCTTTTACTTGAGTATGAAGCTGGCATGAACAGCGAGCTTGATCTTGTAGTCACTTGGAGAGCCCGGGTGGATTGGTCTTGGTTCTACACAAGCCGGTATTTGGCTTGCAGCGGGAATGCAAAGGGATCCATCATCATTTCGTTTCGAGAAAATGATGGTTCTTCTTGGAACTGTTACTCTTCAGGTATCGAGGCAGTTGACTACGTTGACATTATGATCCTCCAGATAATACCATGGTTTGTTCATTTGTATGGCCACGCACTAAAGGCTTTGTTGGATTGCCGAAATGTGGAGTTTTGGTCGTGGTTAGACTGATGAGATTCACACCGGCAGAAGATCGCAAAGCTCCTGCTGCTGTGGAGATTCCTCTGCAAGTTTCTATTGCAACCCAAGCCGTAACTTTGACAAGGTTTGTGATATTGCTGGTTGCTTTGGAAGGGATCTTGATGATGCTGTTCCATTCATGTAGGGATTTCTTCACACCGATGATCATCCTTCAGATGCAAACCGTGGATTTGATCTGCCTTCCGCAGTTATCACTTATCATTTATAAACATTTTAATAATAATAAAGTTGCTAAATTGTGAGTGCATGGAATATGGAAAGAGAATACAAAAAACATGCATATCAATTAACCCAAAAACCTTAACTTACATACAGGAGCGAGTGGTCCGGATTGAAATCAATCTGACGGCTACCAAAATCCCACTACGCTAATATTAGTATATGGCATCATAGCTGTACACTTGGCCCTCACATCATCCCCTCCTCTTAGAATAATGGAAGACCATCAGGGTTCTCTTGTAGACGGGTTGGGATCTGGAGGAACATCAGGAGGAGGCATTGGTAGATCTATAAATGGTATTAACTGCTCCTGATCTCTTTGTATAAAGCGTTTCAACCGCTGCACATGTATAATCTCTGGAGGATCAACCTGCTAAACGTCATGCCGAACTTCATAAACTTGTGGTTCAACTTGCCACAACACCCGATACGGTCCTTTCCACTGCGCAAGGAGCCCCTTAGATAAACCACGTACCGTAAGATGGGGAAAACAAATTAACACCAAATCATCCACTTTGTACTCCACAAGTGGACGATGATGGGAGTTGTAGCGCTGTTATTGTCCCACTTATACGCAGCCTAAGTGTTCGGCAAACTCTACTCAGAGAAGTGGAAGAATACTTATCAAATACTGATCCCACGACCTAGCATCGGTAGCTCGTGGCAATTGCAATAGTAAACCCAGCTCCATTGGTAATATTAGATCATGACCATATAACAGTTTATATGGTGAAGCACTAATAGAACTCTGCACCCCTATGACATATGTGTAAGCGACTAATTTTTCCATTTTACTTTAGTCACTTAACCACACCTCCGACCACTTGGAGGAGTCTCATTCACAACATCCATAAGTCCCAATTAGGACTTGGGGCTTGCTAGCCCCGAGAATGGCATCCATGCCACTCAACCTTTGCACTTGGTCTAAGTGCTCCACGTGTCCGATCCCATGATTGATACCCCAAGGTACCACCGACATATCGGCCCGTTACGCTGAGGCCATACCTATTCACCTTGGTCACACCAATGGTCCAACACCACCTGCATTCCCATCCCGTCTCTCAAAGACTGGGTCATCTGTCCATGAGGGATCATCCCAGATCCACTCCTTAACGTCCTTAGGATGCCTACAGACATGGGGAATAGCCTTCCCCAATATCTCTGTTCTGGTCCCCACCAAGTCCCTTTTTGTCCTTGGCTGTGTTCGCCAATACTGCCACTGGATCAAGGCCCACCGGCCCAACCACTAAGTCCCACTATCCTCTAGGACTTCCTCACTGTGTGACTGTGTCCTTGGTCACCCCACCAGAGGGCTACCCCTCTTCCTTTCCACAGTCTGGGACTTTGGGACACCATTTCGGAACACCGTGGCCCTACGCGGGCCTCATGGGTACTCTCCTCGCCTTCCGCCTTTAGGTGCTCTAGCCATGGGCTTAGAGCGAGGTTCCGTTGAGCCACGACAGGTATCCAAGTAGGTAGTACCACCCACACTTGGACTGGGAGCATCGGACAGTCGATCTCAAGGGGGAAGTAGAGCCGGCTCTTGAACACTTCACCAAGCTACCCCGCTTGTCGGCTTGTGTTCACTCTAGTCTTGGACTTCCCAGTGGGCAGCTCATCACCCAACACTGGGTCCGGCCTTCCTGTGCCAAACTGGCCTTTCCTGGCCAAACTGGCTCTACTGCAGTCCTCCCCCTACTATACTTTTGGAGCTCACCAAACCCCCCAGGGTCTGGGAGACAAACGCTTTGGGCTTTCACCCTCTCAGACTCGAACTCGGTCTCGGACTCGGACTCGGACTCGGACTCGGACTCGGACTCGGGCTCGGACTCGGACTCGGGCTCGGGCTCGGTCTCGGTCTCGGTCCCGATCTCGGTCTCGGTCTCGGTCTCGGTCTCGGTCTCGGTCTCGGTCTCGGTCTCGGTCCCGGTCTCGGTCTCGGTCTCGACTTCGGACTCCATCTTGGGTCCATCTCGGACTCCATCTCGGACTCCATCTCGGGTCCATCTCGGACTCCATCTTGGACTCCATTTCGGGTCTATCTCGGGTCCACCTTGGATTCCTTCTCGGACTCCATCTCGGACTCCATCTCGGACTCCATCTCGGACTCCATCTCGGCCTCCAACTCGAGTCCATCTCGGACACTTCCACGTGTCATGTGTTGGTCCTTTTTGGGTCCCTTTTTGGAGCCTCGCTTTTTGCTCGCTTCGTGCTCGTTCCTCGAGCACTTCGTTGGGAGTTCCACTCCCGCTCTTGACTTTTCAAGTTGGAGCTTTTGGTCCAAACGTGTTACGCTCGTTTGGCTCTCGCTTCGGCCACTACCACGTGGCGCCCTTCCAGCTCCACTTTGGGGCCTAGGGATTTTGTGTCTCACAGCTCCACCACCCATAGACGAAGTTCGATGTCCTCATCGAATGGTAAACCATTTTGTAAAGTAACACTCGCATGTGTTACCATTTCTATCCTTGGCACCTAGCCAATATTTGTCAATGGTTTGACATTGAAGGCTCACCATGCCTTCTCCATATTCGTCATTGGTTTGACATTGAAGGCTCACCATGCCTTTTGCATATGCCTCAATGGTTTGACACCAAAAGCTCACCATGCCTTGCCTATCCTCTAAGGAGGGTAGTCTCTCCAACTTAGAGACTGATTGGACCACATGTAGTGGTTCTCTCCTTTTATTGGTTTAGTTCTCGCTAAACCTCTTAGAGACCCTTCTCTAAGTCAATCCCACTACTCCTTCTCGAGTAGTCTCAATTTCCATTTATTGAACATTTGCACCTTGGAACTTTTACTCTTTTGACTTTTGGAAGTCAATTTCCTAGGTGTCTCCAACACCTTGCATTGCACAAATTGTGCAACTCCACTTCCCCCATCCTAGGAAGCTCATTATTTACTTGAGGGCACCATCATCCTCTCTTCTATTTCGTGCCACCTTGGGCACTAAGTTCCATTTATCATACTTTGTGCTAGGGCTGTCCATGGCCCTATCATTTGGCTACCTTACCGCTCCCTCCCTTGGAGCTTCCAGTTTTGCCAAATCGGAGCAATTCGGAATCCATCCTTGAAAACACACTTCCTTCCCCGCAATTTGTTAGTGTCCAACACATTAGTGTTCCTCGCCTAACTTTGTCACTTGGATTCCTTCCAAGGGATTCCACGGCCCTATCTTAGCCACTCATCTTTTGCTCCTATCCATTGATTGTTGCACTAAGCAACATCGAATCTCTACCTCCCTCCTTGAGGTATTCTTTTGATTCCATAGCAAAAGCTCTGCTTTGCCAAGACTAGGGTGTTCACCCCTAGTAAGTCTCTTTTAGCATCTTCTGCTGTGGGCTCTATCCACGGCCCAACTTTGTGACCCTCCCATGGGTCTCTTATAGAGATTACTTTCCTTGGATACACTATGCCATCGCAATGACATAACTCATTTCCCTAAGGTGCTTTTCCCACTTGGTCACCTTGACCAAGCCACACCATCATCAATAGTTCAAATCAACACTTTGAACTAGGAACCTTATTCCTTAACCCAAACAAGGACCTTATCCTTATTTAGCCACAAGATCACCTAGTGATCTCACCTCGGCACCTTAACAGGTTTGCCAATAGGTACTAGGTCTTCCAGACCTTTAACTTGTTAACTACGACCCCGGGGGCATCCCCCACACTTGGCGGTGCGCCCAAGCCAGCCCTTCCGGCCAAGGGTCCATAGCAACTGAGATTAGGTGTCCCCATCTCACTCACCACGTCCTTGGTGCCACTTGCACCAAAGCGTTCAAGTTAGATATGCCGAGCTTTCACACTAAGCAATCTAACCGTGCATCACGACTCCGAGGCATCCCTCGCTTGGCGGTGTGCCCAAACCAGTCTCCCCACTGAGAGTCCATGACCACCGAAATATGAGTGTCCTCATATTCCAAACCATCACCACGCCCTAGTGATTTGGGACTCGAACCCAAGCACTAGAGGGTCGGGACTCGAACCCAACCTCCGTATATGCATCTACGGACGGCATCACACAAGATGCCTGGCGTGACTCCCCACGCCGGTGCACCAACCTATTTTTTAAAGAGCACTATAGATCATAGCTTAGGAACCTAGTTCCCCCACACTGCCAAGTCCTCTCACTTGACATATCTGTGATCATGCATGGACTCCTCCATGCTT